GAAAATTAATATATATACAATTTTGTATAAAAGTAGTGGGTTTAAATAGATCAAATTCAGCAAATATGCAACCAATCTGAAAACGATCATATCCCAGAGAAAGCTAATTGTAACTTAGGTTTACTCCAATTCTAATTTTATATTTGTTATTTCTATTTTTTTTATAGATTTAATTCATAATATTATTTAAACGTCCGTATTGCTTGACCAGAAATTCCACCAATGGCAGTGCAGTAAAGTGGTCACGTGATACAGGCGGAGACACGTGACCAGTGTACTGCTCTGCCATTGGTGATAGTTCTGATCACGTGATTTAAGTTTAAGATTTTCTAAATTTTACATATATGAACTTTTGTATAATTTTAACACAGTTTTATATCAATTTCTCGAGACAGGAACATCAGATAAAACTTTCATGGGTCGCGATCAAGAGCTAAAGTGATAAGCTTTCAGCCCTCTGTCATTTTCCCTTTACAGTCCCTTTAAGTGTGTCAGGGATATTTGAGGAGTGATTTGGGATTGGAGGATGTGATCTGATCAGTCTAAACATTTGGATGTTACCTCTGAAAATAAAACCTGGTTGTTTAAGTAGAATTGCTATGGATTGCAGAATTATTCATGGATTGTAGGATTTAAGTATTCACTAAATAAAAAGTTTTACTTTTCAATGTTTTCCTTTGTCGGAGACGGAGGTAATACTGAGATATTTCTCTGGCTTTAAACCGATCAGAAATAGGAGGGGGAAGGGTAGGAAAGACGACCTTTCGCGCGCTGGATAGAGATTGAATCAAAGTCTAGTATCCTAAAATTTGTGGAAGAAAAGCAAACGTTTGGAATAAACAATTTGAAAATTTGTAAAACTTTAAATGTGTTTAAAACCCAGGGAGTAAGGAATAGAAGGGAGAGACAACTGACGCGGTTCGCCCTACCATATGATTATACATGCTTTGCAGACGGTACTCCATTTTATATCGAGCTGTTTGGTTCCTTTAGTAGGGCCCTACAGGAAAAATATGTATTGGCGAAACTGGTGAAAGAAAATTGAGCCAATACATATTTTTCCTGTGGGGCCCTACTAAAAAAATCAAACAGCTCGATATAAAATGGAGTACCGTCTGCAAAGCATGTATAATCATATGGTAGGGCGAACCGCGTCAGTTGTCTCTCCCTTCTATTCCTTACTCCCTGTTAAAACCTCGTCTTTATAAGTCTTTTGTTTTTATCTAACAACTTTGAGAACATATATTCTAAACTAAAAACAGATTAAATTTAAATATATTTTTTTCAATCTTCTGAACAATAAATTTTCTACTTTTAATATATTGAATTTAATATGAAGGATGAGAACTAGAAAAATAATAAATATCTCTCATAATAGATTAAAAGATCTTCACAAATCATCTTGAAGATATAAACTTCAAACAACTGAAAACTCTTTAACATTAAATTTTAATCCCAAAAGAAATGCAAGGAATAAATAAACGACAAAAATGTTGTATGTTTTTTTGGCGATTAAGTTGGTTATTTTTTTTGTAACTTTTTTTTTGAGTATGAAGTATTTAGGATTGAATCGTTTACATTTACAGCAACTTCTAGGATATTGTTTTCATTTGTCTAAGGACCTCTATAATCTTTTTTGCTACTGGCATAGATTTGAGGCTCCATAAGAATCTTAGATTTTTTATCAATTTCAAGATTAAATGCTCGATAAGTTTGCCTTTATTATGTTTAGCCATTATTTTCTTGTCCAAAGATATGAACCAAATCTAATGGTAAATAAATCGTTTGGAAAAATTGTTTTGATTTTCAAGGGTAAAACCTTGATATTTCAAACTTATTTGGTTTACACAATTCACAGTTTGAAATATCTAAGGTCTACGACATTGGGTTGCGAAGATATTGGAAAATCAGAGTTTGAGACAAAGACTCAATAAAGTCGGATTTCGCTTGAAAATAGTCTTTGGCCTTAATAATAGTTCGCGGCAAACATTACAGACAACATAAGCATGAGCAATATTGTTTTTTAAAAATCAATGATCACAAAATAGCCCCTGTAGTCCAAAATGTGGGGTTCTATATTTTGCTTTTAAGATTACTGGATAATTTTGTTAATCTATATATAAATTTGGCTTGTCTGTCTGTTTGTCTGTCTGTTTGTTTGTATCCAATAAACGTCAAAACGGCTGAACCGATCGGGCCCAATTTTTTTGTGGGACATCTAGGGACCCCAGGGAAGGTTTATGAATGATTGAAATTTCAAATATTTGTCTCCATCAAAATTTGATCTCCATTAAATTTGTTAAAATTTTGAAAATCCACGAAATTTTTTGTGAAAATCCGCGAATTATTTTTGTTTTGTTTTACGATGTACACAAAGAGAACATGTTCACAATTAATTTAGAAGATGGGCGCGAAGCGCCCTCTAAGGCTAGTCTATCTATAAATTTGGCTTGTCTGTCTATTTGTCTGTTTGTCTGTCTGTTTGTTTGTATCCAATAAACGTCAAAACGGCTGAACCGATCGGGCCCACATTTTTTGTGGGACATTAAGTGACCACAGGGAAGGTTTATCAATGATAAAAAATTTAAAAATGTGTTTTAAAGGTTTTCAATTTTGTAAAAAAATTTAAATTCTTGAAAATCCGCGATTTTTTTTTAAAATCCGCAAAATTTTTTTTCTTCTTTGTTTTAAAATGTAAACAAAAAGAACATGTTTACAATTTAAATAGAAGATGGGCGCAAAACGCCCTAAAAGCCTAGTAATTATATATTTTCACAGTTTTATTTGATAAATTTAAATTTAAACAAAATCTTAAATTTTTGAAAGCAAAAATTGGCAGATCACATTTGGGAAATAGCAGGACTAGGGCTAGTTTGCGAATATTTATTCATAAACAAATATTGCTTGAATTAGGCATGTTTGTAAAGAATACGGCACATAGATTCAGTCTGCTTATAAACAGTCTTATCAATTTTAAGACAGGATTGACCTTTGATGTGTCGCGACGCCCTAAGCTTAGATTTTACCGCTCTAACTTACTTATGCTTTTCTGTAGCCCTTTACATATACATTTTAGCACTGTAAAGCACTTGTTGTTAGCTTTAAATTTTTAGAAGTAATTGGCCAAATTCTCCACGATTTTTGCTTGAGAGTGTGAGACCATTAAATCACAGTGACGGCGAACTCCAACTCAAATATTTTTCAACAGCTGTAAAGCAAAAACACCTTTAATGTATGAAAACGGAGCACATTGGTAACTCCGTTATTTCTCTAATAATGGAAAGAATTAATAATGTTATAATTGAGAATTATTACATTGAGAACCAGAAAACTCTTGAATAGTAAGCCTCAATTTATGACTTAAAAAATTCCCATGAACATGACTTACAGTAATTGTGCAGAGTAAAAAGACCCATTTTACTAAATAAGTTTTTTCAAGCTACTGCTAAATCTACTTACTTTGTAACAACATCATATATACTTTTTTATTACTTTAATGTCGTCTTCCTATTCCACAGTTTTCTGGTTCTCACTGTAGTCTAGACTAAAATGATAAAATGAAACAAAAAAATTATAATATTCATGAAGATAAAAAAATATAATATTATTAAAAATGATTATATTTAGTTATACAAGACTTTCAGGGAGCTAAAGCACATCTTCGAGTTCAACTTTTAATTGTTGCTCTTTTATTTTTTTTTCGTGGATTTTGAAAAATCGAAATAAACCTTCCCTAGGTCCAACAAAAACTTTTTTAAACGTTTATCGGTTACAAACAAACAGACAATCAAAGTAGATATTAGAAGATACAAGATTTAGTTTTTAAAGAAAGATAATAATTATGAAGATAAAAATAAAAATCATTATTAAGACTAAATCAATATTAATTATCAAATTGAAAAGAATAATAATTGTTTATAAAATGAAAATGATAACGAAAATGATAATAACAATTAGATTCAAAATAATAATCGTTATATTTGGCTCACTCTGTGTTCTAAAGAGAACAGATGGTTTAAAATGTAGAAGATGTATGCATTTAAAAACAGCTGAAATATTTTTAGTTTAAAACAATATTTACACTAAACCTTTCTCAAATATTTACATAATCTTAAAAAACATTGAATAGGCATGTTCATTTGTATATAGTGTATAGTAGGTACATTTTCAGCCGGAAATTTGAACATTGTTTAAGGAAACTCCTGAGTTTCCTTTTATGGGGTATATACACAAATGTACATTAAGAAATAAAATTTTTTAAAGTGATTTTGAAACTAAACAAGAAAAAAATATTTCTAACAAAAATAATTTTGATGTCTACAAAATTGCTCTACCACATTTCCAATATTAGGTTTTATAACGTTACCCTGTATTAAGTTTTGGGCTCTGAGTTCTGAATTCTTTAATTTAGTATAGTGATACCTACTGAGAAAGCTGTTATCTGTAAGAGTATTGTCTGCTATGTTCACATTTTGTTTGTTTATGTTTTGACTGCATACGGTCGTACTTAGTAAAACAAGAAAATTGCAGTATACAAACAGAGTAAACTTGTCCGTCTTCACTGTTCATCTTGCGGAGACATTATAGACACATCTTTACAATGTTTTTTGGGACACCCTGTACATATATTTTTTTGCTTTGAAATATTATTTTATGTGGATGAATTATTATTTTCTGGTTCTTACATTAATATCTACACAATTATGTAGACTTGAGAGTCTCGTTTAAAGATACTTTTTTTAATTTCCGGCTTTGCAGTACTGTACAGTGTACAGTGTACAGTGTATATGCAGGCCGGTTACAAACACAAAGGAAAAAACGTCAATAACGGCCGCAACCTCTTTTAATAAAATTATCCGTTTGATGTCCAAAGATTACATACGGTCGTCTCTGAAATCTCATCTTTTGTTGATATATTTGCTTTATAATAATATAAAATGTCCATAACATTTCTTAAATGTCGTCTTCTTACTCCAGAGTTTTATAGGTCACTGTAAACTCCGTTTCATTTTAAAGGACCGATCCGACTTTTAAACAACTAGAGCAAGCAGTACAGTACACATACAGACTATTTAAGGCTAACCGGGACAGTACACACTGTGAATTAAGGGTTGGAAGCTCTCACACAAAAATCGATAAAATACTGCCAGTTACTTTTTTAAAACTTAAGCTAGACACAAGTGCTTTATAGTTCTAAAGTGTACATGTTTAGTGCTATAAAATGCATAAGTAAGTTAGAGCGGTAAAATGAACCAACTCCTATGGGGAGATTCTAATGCTGTACTTCATAAATTAGATGTGCGAATCAATGCCGCATTATATCTCAAGAAGACAATATATGTCATATTTTTCTTTTATGAAAGTTTCTATGGCATTTAAAGACGACATAAAAATGAAAATGTCGTTGTTTCGGACATTTGTTCTGATGCCTTCCATTTTCACATTTGTTCTCGCATTCTTTACAGTACAGGTCCTGAAATACAAGGTAAAGTTCAAATAGTTTTGAAAATTGGCTCCTTGAAAGCTAAAATGTTTCGAATTTAATTAAATGTGTTTTTGAATTTTCATTCTTAGCTCGTCTGATCTCAAACAGAATTTTCTCTCTTGAAATTCCATGAATTCCATAATTTCTTTTAACCAGATTTTTATGTTTTTTTCTTTTTAACAGATTTATATGTTTTCTCGTAAGTATAACAATTAAACATGTTCATAGTAGACAACATTCTTTGTTGTACACTGTACTGTAAGGTTAAATTGTACAAAAGTAGTGAAACTAATACATATGGATTTAGAGATAGTCGTTTTTATTTATAAATGTTACGAGTTAAGAATTTGATATGAGTTCATGAGGCGAAAATTTCTATACAATGTTCATGGAATAAATATTACAGACGTACATCATACAGTTTTTAAAATAACAAAACATCCCTTTATTTCTTTTATTAACTATATACTTGAAAGCAGATATAAATTCTGTAAAATTAGGAGCGTACTGCGCATGGAGAATAGAATATATAGAGAGGAATTAAAAGAATCTCTCGGTATGAATTTTTTCAGTCCCTTTCAGCCTGAAAGGGAGTTCAAAGTGTACAAATCATGTAAATGTTCACAAATTATATGCAGTAGAGTACATTAATACAGTATGTTCCCTAGACTATCCATTTCAATTTCGAATTTTTTAAACTGTTGAATCAGGGGCGTACGAGGGCTTTTGTTTGGGGGGTGCAAATTTTTTTTGGCCCCCCCCCCTTGGCAACATTGGTCTTCCCCTTAAAAACCCCTTTTTTGAAAAAATATTAATACCTTTTTTAAATTTTTTTTGCCCCCCCCCCTCTCCCACCTGGACTTATTTTGTACACCATAAAAATACACCAAAAAGACTACTTTTTTGGGTGTTACTAACCTTAGAGTCTAAAAATTATTCCTTTGCTTGAAAAACTAACTTTTTGACTCTATAAGTTTATCACTTAACTCCATCACAGCTAACTAAATCAATAATCACAGCATCATTAAAAATTATATTTTTACGAATAAACGAAATTTCTTCTGAAGTTTTTAGATAGAATTTACTCAATCTACATTTTAACAAAATCTTTTAAGCTACAATTTTCTGGGATTTGCTTGCACAAACATTTCAATGATTTTTTGCAAGATCGTTAAGTTTGCTCTCCGTCATAGTTCATCTTGTGTAAAGAAGTATTCTCTTTAGAAGGCTAAAACTTTTCTCTCCTTGTATTAACAGTGAATTTAGACAAATCCTTAGTCTTTGTCATTGTCAGGTCAGGTGTTACTTTCTAAACGTAGTTTCCTTTTAATTTTGTATTTTTGGAACTCCCAGGGGGGCAAGAGAACTACTGCCCCCCCTAGGTACACCACTGTGCCTGACCTGAGGAAGGGAAATGCAAGCAGATGTAATATTAAAAGAGCCTCCCCCATGGATGCCCCCCCTCAGCCTCTCAGGGGGGGGGCACGCGTAGAGGGGGGCGCGGCCCCCCCCTTCGTACGCCCCTGTGTTGAATGAACTTTATAATGAATTAGGTGAATAAAAACATCATTTGATTTATAGTTATAACGGAAAATCATCGTTTGTAAAGTCTATGTGAAATGATCATCATTGGTCAATTATGAAACCAGCCTATTTCATAATTTGGTTTTCTTTTAACAATAATTTTAGATTTTCTATAAAATGATATTCCAGGGCCCAACAGGTTATATAGCATAAATATGTGAAGTACACCTGCAGCATGGAAACAGTACAACAAAATGGCCGTTTTACACTTTTTTCTAGTAAATTCCTCTCTATATATTCTATTCTCTATGGTACTGCGTATACAATTATAAATGCTAATTCTGAACCAATACGATCTCTAAATCTTCATTAAATTCCATTTTCATTCCGACACTCTGTAAAAAACTTTTCAGTCGTCGAATAGGTACCGCGGTGCTGACGATATTTACAAAGACGACATTTTTAGACGAGTGCAAACATACGCAAAATAGAAATAGAGGAGATAGAGACTTTGAACAGAGTTCTTCAGTGTGATAAAAATAGACAGGTATTTCTCTAATAGATACTTTTCTATGGAAACATTTCTTACATTATTTACTTTTCAGTGGGACGAAAAAATTTTTAATTAGGTTTTTATTGGAGAACATTATCGTTTTTTTTTTAAGGTTTCATGGTAAAAGAAAATTTGTAAGAGATTTTTAAGGAAATTTTTTTTGTTTTAAAAAAATCTGTTGGTTTTAATTAATTGTTTTTTGGTTTAGAAAAATCTTTTTTTTAAAGGAAAATCTTTGATTTTAGGTAAATCATTTTGGTTTTCAGGAAAATCTTTTTGTTTTTTAGGAAAATATATTAGTTTTTCAGGAAAATTTCTTTGTTTTTAGGAAAATATTTTTGTTTTCCAGGTTTTTAGAAAAATATTTTCATAAAAATCTTTTAATTTTTAGAATTTGTTTTGGTTCAGGAAAATATCTTTATTTTTTTGGAAAATCCTATTTGTTTTAAAGTGCTAATATAGGCTAATAGTTATGGTACCACTTAAACCTAGGATATCACATATTTATCAAATTAGTGAAGAATTCCTTTAAGGCTGAGAGTACTGCACAGCTTGAGGTAGGAGTAAGGTTTGAGGAAATAAATAAATCCCTGGAAACCTGGAAAACACTTCTCAAGGATTGCTCAGTCAAACTTCAACAAGGATAGGTCATTAAACTTTTTATTTTGATCAATTGATAAAATTCTTGTGTATGGATGCAACCTACATTCATCGAATATATTTTTGTACATTCAACCTCTATCAATTAGATATAATGTTTGCATACAACCTTTCTCCAATGAAATATATTCTTGTACATGAATCCCTTCATTTTGTTGTGTACATGCAACCTATATCTGCTAGAGGGAGGCAAGAAATATGAATTATGAAAATGATAAAAAATAATACTAATCTATAACAATCAATTAATAGAGAATTAGTTAGTTATTATTCTTCTCTGTAAGTTTTATGCTCTTGGTACTGTTCTCATGAGTAGGATTTGTAAAACCTTTTCCTTCTATTTTGTAGAAAAATAGGTTTGCATTCATTAATAAATGCATTCAAATGCTGATTTTAAAGACTGCTTTAAATAACTCCTTAGAGAATTTTTAAAACCTTATCTCCGGTCGATTATGGAGATGTTAGCTTGAAAATCTCTTAAAGGGACAGACCGGCTATGTAAGGTAGTTAAACTGAGTATACAGTGTTGTGGACAAATTTTTTAGGATTCATTTGAGACTTAAAAAACTTTTTAAAGATCTGTAAATCCTGAGTTTGAGCGCAAAGTCAACGTTCAAAATCGTACTTTTCAGAATTGTTTTTAAATTACTAAATAACGACGACAAAAAATGTAAAAAAAAAATCTGCAGTAAACTAATTAGTTGTTTAGGAACAGGTGAGAAAATAAAAAATTAACTCTTATCATCTAAAATAAGTAGTCTAATTCAATTATTAGTTTTTATAATCTCTCTTTAATAAAAAAGATTTTCTGCATATTTTCCGGAATTTTTATTAAAAAGACGACATTTGAAGAATTTGAAAAATTTTCGAACAAATTTATAGAAAATATATATATTGTAGAGGTCGTGAGGACGGAATCTAACTTCAACCAGTATATATTTTCAGTATAAGTTCTTCCCAGCTTCCAGAGACTTGCTTTGTGGAACTATCTTAAAGAGGCCGATAATCGTCTTCGATAAAATTCAATATAATGATGAAAAAGGAAATAATTAATTCTAACTTTGACTTATTGACAAATTTCTTTTGAGATATATGTTCCTAAATATGTAATTAGTTTACTATAGAATTTTTACAATATTTTTTGTCGTCGTTATTTAATGATTAAAAAACGATTCTGAAAACGTATTCACCTAAATTCATGATTTTTAACGTCGACTTTGCGCTCAAACTCAGTAATTATACATCATGGAAACGTTTTATATGTCTCAAATGAATCCTAAAAAATTTGTCCACAACACTGCATACTCAGCTTAGCAACCTTGCATAGCCTGTCTGTCTCTTTAAAATTATTTTTATAATTAGATTAAGCATCATATTTATATATAAAGAAGTATGAATATAAAAAAGTAATCTTTGTTTTTTTTGTTTGCCAGATAAAAACTCATAAACACCTATACTGCTTGGCCTCAAGTTTTTTATAGAACAAGCCTGTATCTATATCTAAACAGTGGTAATCTCTTTTGTGTGTTTAACTCATGAACCATGGTAGATGTTCCTCTTTGACAAATTCGAAACCCATTCAGCATTTCACTAATTAAAAAAATAAAGATCATTTAGAGTGGTCGATTTTTAATTTTTTCATTTAATGATTCGTCTTGAACTGATGAATAATTTGTTTTTCTTAATTTTATTCATATTTCAACATTTATTTCTATTCATTGAACGATTATTTTCTTCAAAATATTATGTACAATATGGCTAAATTTTGATAAATCAAAAACATGAATTACACAAAATATACAAACATAGAAATTTAATTTTATCTTTTTATAAAAAAGTTCAATCTTTTAGTGACTTAAGACTAGAAATGATTTTAATTTAGTTTGGAATAATTTTAATCAAAGTTTCAAATTTAATTCATAAATGTTTCTCATTTGTTTGTTTGAAAATTATACATCAAACAGGATAATCAACAAGGGAAAAAACTATTTTATTGCAAACAAATATATTCTTATTTCTAATAAATATATCAACAATATCGTAGAAGGAGAATGTTTTAATATCAAACTTAGAATTTTATATACATATTTTTTGTGATAATAAGGCACGTAAAACGGGTGTCCGCAGACTAAAAATATATTAAAGAATTGTAGAAATGTCAACAAAATGTTAAATTGTCTGCTAATTGTAGAAATGTCTTCAAAAGTTAAATTGTCTGCTAATTGTAGAAATGTCTGCTAAATGTCTAATTGTCTGCTTGTTGTAGAGATGTCTGCTAAATGTTAAACTGTCTGCTAATTAAAGAAATGCCTACTAAATGTTTATTTGTCTGCTAATTGTATAAATGTCTTCTAAATGTTTAATTGTCTGCTTGTTGAAGAAATGTCTACTAAATGTTAAATTGTCTGCTAATTGTGGAATTTCCTTTAAAAGTTAAATTTTCTACTGATTGTAGGATTGTCTTCTAACTGTTAAATTGTCTATTAATTGTAGAAATGTCTACTTAATGCTTAATTGTCTGCTAATTGTAGAAATGTCTACTAAATGCTTAATTGTCTGCTAATTGTAGAAATGACTACTAGATGCTTAATTGTCTGCTTATTGTAGAAGTGTTTATAAAAGTTAAATTGTCTGCTAATTGTAGAAATGTCTACTAAATGCTTAATTGTCTGCTAATTGTAGAAATGCCTACTAGATGCTTAATTGTCTGCTTATTGTAGAAGTGTTTATAAAAGTTAAATTGTCTGCTAATTGTAGAAATGTATATTAAATGTCTACTGATGAATTGATCTCTGCTTATTTCTTCGATGTCTGCTGTTAAACCCCGCTGAACTTTCATCACTTGTATTCCCCGTATAACGGGATTCCCGCTCTGCTCGGCGCGCTGGTAGCTGGACAGGCCACGCCGGTATACCTGGATAATATGGAATATGAATTCACAAAATTGAGTATAATTGGTGTGGGAATAGATAGACTAATAAAAGGGAAGATAGTGGAAGTTATGGAAAGATATGGGAAGGTGTAGAAATCATGAGAAGATGTGGGAAGATATGTGAATATCAGGGAAGTTATGGGAAGACATGGAAACTTTTGACAAAATATGGGAAATTGTTGGAAGATATGGAAATATCAGTAAAGATATGGGAATATCAGGGAATATATGGGAATATCAAGGAAGAAATGGAAATATCAGGGAAAATATGGGAATATCAGGGAAGATATGGGAATATCAAGGAAGATATGGGAATATCAGTAAAGATATGGGAATATCAGGGAAGATATGGGAAGATATGGGAATATCAGGGAAGATATGGGAATATCAGGGAAGATATGGAAATATCAGGGAATATATGGGAATATCAAGGAAGATATGGGAATATCAGTAAAGATACGGGAATATCAGGGAAGATATGGAAATATCAGTAAAGATATGGGAATATCAGGGAAGATATGGGAATATCAGTAAAGATATGGGAATATCAGGAAAGATATGGAAATATCAGTAAAGATATGGGAATATCAGGGAAGATATGGAAATATCAGTAAAGATATGGGAATATCAGGGAAGATATGGGAATATCAGTAAAGATATGGGAAAATCAGTAAAGATATGGGAATATTAGTGAAGATATATGAAGATACATGAAGATATGGGAATATAAGGGAAGATATGGGAATATCAAGGAATATATGGGAATATCAGGAAATATATGGGAATATCAGTAAAGATATGGGAAGATACATGAAGATATGGGAATATTAGTAAAAATATGGGAATATTAGTACGTGAAGATATGGGAATATTAGTGAAGATATGGGAATATCAAGGAAGATTTGCGGATACCAGTAAAGATATGGGAATATCAGTAAAGATATGGGAATATCAAGAAAGATGTTCAATATATGTGGGAAGATATTGAAAGCTACGGAAAGATATGGAAGCAGAAGGAAAATATGGGAAGAAATGGAAAGATATTGAAAGATATCAGAAGATATGGAAGACATGGAAAGATATAGGACAAGATGGGAATATATAAAGCATTAAGTAGTAAAAATAATCTTAATAATTTAGTTTATATTTACCAGTATGTTCTGGGCTCTCCCCTCTGCTATTGTAGAATAAATGCGCCTGAAAAATATATGTCTTATATCCGAAAATGTCCTAGGAATGTGGGTTGCGATTAATATGCAAATTAAAGATGAGTTTTTTCTATATTTAATAAATTCCAAAATTGATCGGTTAAAATATATTACAAAGCTTCTAAATCATACACACAGTGAACTAAACAGAAAAAGGTCAAATTTAGGCAATATTATTGATACGACTTTGTGACCTTTTAGCTCCTCTAGATTTAAATTTACGCATAAGTATGAGCAAAGCAAATATTTCCGTTTACACATATTGGAATATTAGAACATTTTGTTTCTTCTTCGTAGATCTTGAAGAAAAGAAGTAATGATTAAAAAGATCATATAAGATTCTTATCTTACATGAAATTTACATTAGTTTGGCGTGGTTTGCAACATGTGGTTAAAATACTTTTATTGCTGACTATGCAGCTTATTGTAGCGACGATATTCTACGGTGGTAGGCGATTAGAGAACTACAATGAAGACGACTTTTTTATTTAAGTTTTGATTCAAGTTTACAAATAATAAAAGAGAAGGTTTTTTAATTAATAAATTCTCTTGACCTCTATGTTTTTGTGTATCCATGCTGTTTAACAGCTCAAAAATTTAAATCAAAATTGAATTCGAAAGTCGTCTTCATTGAATTATGAAAATGGAATAATAATAATGGATAATAATTACCTTTCGTCTATCTGTATAAATATCATAATGTTCGTTCTCCGGTCCCCCCCTCCCCTCTACCCTGCTAGGGTCCCCTTGTACCCTAACAATACTGTCCCTAGTGGGCTCCTTGTTTACGTGCTTGAGGTTGTCCCTGAACTCCCTGGGGACAGACCTGGCTGTTAAACTGTGCACCTGAACAAATATATTCTTGTTTACTGGAGTATTTCCAAATCATAACGGTACCTCCGTCGGAGCAAAATCAAGTGAATTTCCGTGTTTTGCTCTCTTGCTCTCCGAAAAAATAATTTCACACTGCGTGGGATCTCTGTAAATGACAGAGGTATTGTTGTGAATTGGGCGTGAAATTCTTTTTAAATGGAGAGGAACATTGTTAAACATTATTTAACAAGGTTAATTACAAGCTCAAATTGTTAAATATGTATTGTGTAAAACTGTAAAACACTTTTATTTGATATTAATTGATTCTATTCAAAACTAAAAAAAGGTTAAACAATTTTAAACAGTAAAACAGGGTTAAAACTCTAACGCTGTTAAAACTTTTAAAAGCTGTGAGAACTTTTGAACTGCTATACATTGTTAACATTTAAAGACTATTTTTGGTGAATATGTGCCAAACTGAAATCCTGAAAAAGTGCAAAATGTGATTCACGCAAGATGCATTATTAAAGTGTAAACTATAAAGTTTAACAAAATAATTTTTCAATTAATGAACATTTGAATTTTAAAAATTCTTTATTTTATTAGAAATTAAAAAAATTTGCAAAATTAAAAATTAAGTTTATGAATTCCCTTGAAAAGGACATTTCTGCATTTTATTAATTAAATCCCAAAACCTGATAAAGAGTAAAGATAGTAAAAGTGTAAAGATAGATGGATATCTATACTTAATATCCAGCCTAGCTTTTACAATTCTTCATTACATCATTTTTTTTGTATCAATCCATAAAAAAGGTTTCAAGAAAGAGTCTAAGCTTTTTATTATTTTTTATTATTTTATTTTATCCATTAAACATCAGATTAATGTTTACTCTTGTATTGTGTATTTTCATGCATATCCCCGAGTGTTCCCAACCCTATGCGTAATAAATCATGCAAAACACAAAAAATATCTTTTTTTCATTAAAAAATGAATTTTTATCCTACTTTTCTGTCCCTTCTTCCAGTAGAAGCAGACTGAAAATATCAACATTTAAAAAGAATCATTATGATAAAAAGATATAAAATCTCGGTAAGGGAATCAACAAAGAAAAGCTCTGGTCAGAAATTATTTGCAGTGTAACCGTACACTTTCCTGTCAACAGTACACTGTACCCTGTATGTATACTTTACAATGAAAACTTAAACACCATGTTGCAAAAATATGGTTTCCACATCGAAAATGTATTTATGCACAATGTACATGCAGCTTCCCAAGCAACCTTCGTCCATGAGTAAAATTACCGAATCGGAAGTAAGGTTTATCGGAGCAGGTTTGCGCGGAGCAGGGTTAGACGGAGCACCGGAAAACCCGTTCTCAAACAATCGTCTGAGATCTTTAACTGAACCCAACCTGGGGTTCCCGGAGGGTTCTTCGAGTAGAAGGTTAGTTTGATTAATCTGGTTAGTCACATAATCCAGGTTTGTTGGGTTAGTTTTGTTAGTTTTATTCTTCTGTTTATCAGGGTTAGTTAAGGAGATCATGGTTCTGGGTTTAAGATTGATTAGATTAGGTTCTGGTTCTATAGATATCAGGGTTACATGATCCGACTGAATGGAGACAATACTATCTGAGTCGTGGATCTCCTCTGCTATGGATCCGTTCTCAGATTTGGATTGGGGGACTGATATAAGATTAATATGAGTAGGTTCGGTCCAACTATCCTCATAGTCTGACGGTTCCTCAGGGATAACATTATCATAGTATCCGTACTGTTCATAGGAGAAGAACCCGGATTCAATCCCTCCAGGAGCTCTGACTCCTGGTACGTCATGAATCTGACAATAGATATGATCTTCAAATCCTTCCGCTTCAGATTCTGTTCCCTCTCCGGCCGAGGAGAAATCCTTATCCTTGGGAATGTTTCTAAGTCCGTTCTCCAGGGCAGATGCGTCACAAATATTTGAATCTGACGCATATTTGACGTACTGGAACCGAGAGGGGTTTATTCGCTCCCAGAACTCCTTGATATCAGACAGCCCCGTGTTACTCTTCCAGGCACGCTCACTATTCTCCTGAACAGGCTCCGAGTACTCAGGTTCTATATCACTATACTCTAGGATAGTGTATTCATTCTCGATTATCTCAACCTCGGAGGGGTTAAGGTCTCTGTCCGGAATATAGGTTGTATACATGACGGAGCTGGAGAGGGAGGAGCAGGTGGGGGGAGGGGATGAGGAGAGAGACGGGGAGGAGGAGGGGGATGGGGAGGAGGAGGAGGGAGGAGATGGTACATATTCATCTGTCATGATCTGAGGAGCAAAGTCTGGAGTATTTAAGGATATAGGAGCTGATGGAGAACAGCAGAGTAATGAGTCTCTACTGGAGTACCAGGATATAGGTAAACTTGCAGAACTGGTTTCACATCTCCTGATAGGACTAGAACACGCAACTTTGTCAAGGAACTCGTCAAAATCCTCCCGGTAGAGATCATCATGATCCGGGGGGATCAAGGGTGGAGCAGGAGCGGAATAGATCACGTTTACACCGTCCGCCGCTAGTTTAGCTTTTACAGGAGTACCCGGAGATCTACATGCGTCCTGGAGTTGCTCAAGGTCTACTCTAGACTGTAAGCTAAGGGTGCAGGTGGAGTTAGACTGGAAACATGGAATATAGATTAGTAAAAGGGTTAGTTAATGGAAATTTTCTACGTTAGTTATGTTAGTTTAAGTTAGTCTAACTAATCTATATATATGCTACTTTGCTAAGGAGTTGAGCTTTATTCACTAACTCTGATTTTCTGACGCCTATATCTTTGCAACGGAAGGTCATAGACTCTAGACATTACAAGCTATAATTTCTGTTAGATGAAATAATAAAAGTTTGAAATATGAAAGTTTTACACCAACAGTTTGCAAATATACAGGAATAAGAAAATTAGAGTTTGTGGCAAAGACTCAATTTCTTTATTATAAAATGATAATTATGAATTCAATTCAAGAGACTTAAACTCCAAGTTAAATATATATTTCTAGACGGAATAATACACATACTTCAGACTTCTAATACTAAACTAGTTAAAGATAAAGGAAGAATACTAAATTGACAGATAGTAATTAAAGCTAATCAAGGCTAGATAAACACAAATGCTAGTTTTTAATTGATTTAAATAAATTTAAACAATTGTAAATACCTGATACCCGTTGGAAACCGGTTTAAACACCTTTTTCTAAAAACAAACAAACAATGAAGAAAAATACTAAAAACCCCAAAACAGCAGGATTTGAAAAACAGAAGAATTAAAAGAAAATGTCGTCTTTGAATTCCCATGTTGAATAAACCTTGCTTCAAAACAGTACAAAAAATAATCCCAAGGGATATAAATTGAGCCAAAGCATTATAAAGTTTCTAAAAGTTTCTAGAATAAAAAAGGTATCTAAAGATCCATGGCTTTAACTTCTATAAGGATCTTATAGTAGGACCTGATGGGAATTAATTTAAGATGGGAATAAACATGGGAATTAATTTAAGATGGAGAATAAACATGGGAATTAATTTAAGATTGAAAATAAACATGGGAATTAATTTAAGATGGAGAATAAACATGGGAATTAATTTAAGATGGAGAATAAACATGGGAATTAATTTTAGATGGAGAATAAACATGGGAATTAATTTAAGATGGAGAATAAACATGGGAATTAATTGTGACGACCCCTATATCCTAGTTGTTCAGCGTGGAATTATCACGTGAACAAAGGATTTGAGTCTTTGCCACAAACTCAGAATTTCTAATCCCTATATTTTTGCAACCCAATGCCGTAGACCTTAGATATTTCAAACTATGAATTATTTGAGATCAAATAATCTAAGTTTGCACCATCAAGTTTCTAAGATATAAGGATTAGAAAATTTGAGTTTGAGACAATGACTCATTTCCTTTGTGTAGTATTCCAGTTAAAACAGTTAATAATCAAACCTACAAGTCTAAGGAAGTCTAAAACATGGTTTACCACATTAGTACCTTCAAAATATAAAAAGAAATCTGCCCAGATAATAATTTATCAATTAACAACGAAATCTCTGAACTGTTAGAATTTCCGTGAATTTTGAAGATTTGAAGATGAATTAAGAAGGCAAACCACATTTTTAAAAGCTCACAAGACGTTTATTCTTTATTTTGACAAGTTCTCTTGGTGATTTATCAACAATCGGAAATCGAAATTTTCAAGTCGTCTCATACCATGTTTATTGGGTCACCCTGCACTTATTCCAAACCCCCACGCCCCTCCTTCTCAACAAGAGCTAAACCCCCGTGATTTTACTATGTCAGGTAAAGTTAGGCTAAGATAGATAGAGAATCACAAACGGGTTTCTCTCTTTCAGAAGGAAGATGTGGGGGGGGGGGGTCAACGTCGTCAAATGTAATAAAAAACAACTGAAGATTCAATTTAACAAGATATAAAACTATGATTTAAAAATCCCTAAATCTTAGATATTTCAAACTCTGAATTTTGTTAGATCTAATTAACAAAGTTAAAAAATGTTATCGGGTTGCAAAATGTCCAATAAAAAGAAATATTTGATGTGGATGCATGGATACCTTTTTTATCTTCAAACTATATTTATTTGACAACTTGCCTATACAGGACACCACACACAATTTTAATGTATTGTAACAATTTAAGACAGCCTAAAAAAGCAAGATAGAATTCAAAACAAAACCAGCCTAGTCCAACTCCCAAAAAGGACGAGACATTAAAGGGACCATTCACATATTTGGGTAATTTGAGGATAATCTAAATAGCCTATTAATCCCTTTAATGACGCCAAAAAATCTATTTAGTTTACTTAACGTAACTTTAGGTTGAATTTTATCTTTCACCTTAAAAAGTCACTTTTTCTTGAAAACTAAATACTTTGACAAAAAAAACAGGTTAATATATGCAGGGAACAATGAAATCTCATCTTTTGTGAGTAACCCTGCTTAAAATCTTTATTTTGAAATAAAAACAGATTTAGTTTTTTTTGTATTGTAGACACGTCAAAAGTATTTAAATAAAATATTTAATTCTGTTTCCCTCAAGCGCAGCGTATTTGGATAAAATTATAGCTTACGTTATATAGTGTTTTTCTTACCCTCAAACAACAAAAACACTTCGGAATTCCAAAAAAATTATTATGTCTGATTAAAAAATAGATAATTTTCTTTCTTGTGTTAAAAAGATTCCTGAAAAAAACATATGGAAAAAACATTTCATACCAATCTAAAATTTTAGAATATCATTTCTCCAGCTAAATGCTAAACATCAGAGAAATGTTCAAGTAAATTCCTAGGTTTAGGTTCAGGACTGGATCTAGTAGTAAAGGGTACCTTGAGTAAAGATTTCCTAGGTTTAGGTTCAGGACTGGATCTAGGTTGGAACTTTATTGCTAGATCCCGGACGGACGGTAGTTTAGGAACCAGATCTAGATCTCCGGAGGAGTATCCGTCCTGGGCAGGGTAGGATGAATAATCAGGGTGCGGGTAGGGTACAGGAGAGGGATCAGGGTGTCCTGGTCTAGGTCCAATATTTTCCTTTTCGTCCTGAAAAAAAGAAAAAAACAATTATGACTAATGTATGCTATCTCCAAAATCAAGATAAAGGCAAAGGCGTAATATAATCCGATAGAACTATTTTGTTCACTAAGATTCTAGATATAATTAAAAATATGTGACAATTACCTCAATGACTTGTATAGAGTAAGCATAGTTTTTATCCTTCTCATTTTCATATTCGTCATCATCATCATCATCATCATCATCATCATCATCATCATCAGCGTAATCATCATGAGTATCCTCTTGATCATGGATTTCTTCCACCTCGGTATCACTGTTATCTCCAGATTCATACTGGAGAATATAATCATCATCAGTCCTCGGACTCTCATTATTAACATATTCATCCTCAACCAGATATCCGTCCTGAACCATGTACCCGTCCTGTAAACTGTATCCGTCCTGCATACTGTATCCATCCTTCATATTGAATCCGTCCTGCAGTATGAATCCGTCCTCAATAATATATCCGTCCTCTATATACCCCTCCATTGCCGAGGAGGGAACCTCAGAGGAATGAAGAGATTCCGAACTCCCATGGAGTCCGGAGTCGGTTGGAACTACTCCTTGCTTATCAACAGACCTTGACTTGGGTGGTAGTGGTGGAGGAGACGTGATATCATTTACTCCAGAACCTTTCGGAGGCAGTGGAGGGTTGGAGGATAGGCCGGAGGTGTTCACTTTAGGAGGTAGGGACGGAGGTCGTGTAGAATCCGACTCCCAATCCAGTAAACTATCCACACTTCCTCCTCTCCTATCCCAGGATCTACGGTTAGTTCTCTCCTCTTCTCTCTTATCTATCTCACCCTGGAGACGTTTCGCACGTTCTAGGACGGAGAGGGTCGGTTCATCCCGGTCTTCTGATACATTTCTCTCACTTGCAGAACCCACTCCGCTATCCTCAACCCTAGCATCCTCGTCCTCATCCTCCACCTCGTCCAGGAGGACGGAGATGGTTACATCTTCAGTTTCGTCCTCATTACTCTGCTCGTCTTCTTTATTCAACCTTTCAACTCTCTGAACATAAGATTATTTTTAGAGAAATTTATCATAACAACTGGTTAAAACATGCTACTACCCTATTTTTCAGAAAAGTTGTTAAAAATTATAGATTACAAAACCCGACCTGCTTAGAAGATTCTGAACTTGAATTTCTGCTCCTTGTTTGGTACTTCAGCTGACTCCTATCTTCTCCTTTCACTATGGGTGTAAAGTACTCCCTACTCCTCTCCTCTCCCTTCTCCTTGGGTACATAGTACTCCCGGGCGTAAAGGCTGCTTTGTATACTTGGGAGGCCGCAATCTATCTTCCGAGGTCTGTCCTCACCCATATAAACCTGATTCATCATACTCCTACAAACAAATTATATATATTCCCAAAAGACTGTATTCCAGAAGTAGAAACCTCTAAGAGACTAGACCCCGATGGATAAAGGAATTAAGTCTTTGCCACAAACTCAAACTTTCTGATAATTCTTTGCCAATGCCCCATGATGGTGTATACCTTGGATATTTCAAATCTAAAATATTTATTTAACAGATCTCATATAAGTTTTAAATATATAAGGTCTACGACTTTGGGTTGCAAAGATATAGATATTAGAAATTTAGAGTATGTAGCAAAGACTCAATTCCTTTCCAAAATAATTTAGACTGAATCCCAAAGAGACTAATTTCCTGGTTCTCAGAGAGACTAGTTCCCAAAGTTTTGCTCCCCAAGAGACTGCACCCAAGAAACTGCATAATTCTCAAGAAAACTAATTCACAAAGAGATTAATTCTTAGAACCTGGTTTTCAAAGAGACTGGTTCTCAAAGAGACTAATTCCCAAAGAGAAAAATTCCCAAAGAGACTAACTTCCAAAGAGACTAATTCCCAAAGAGACTAATTCCCAAAGAGACTAATTCCCAAAGAGACTGATTCTCAAAGAGACTGGATCCCAAAGAGACTGGATCCCAATGGTATACGGGATATTGTTAAACAATCCCTTAAGTGAATATACTATCTACTTCCATGAAGGAAGAACAGACAAAGCTTCATTTACTTTTTATTTTATCAAACTATATTAACTATTTCATCCTCATTCAGAACAAATTGTATCATGAGAATTAAAACAAGGGTAAAATTACTCTAATGAATTAATTCTATTGTAAACGCTGCTAAAAAAACACCAATAAAAGAAAAAAATTGAAATTGCTTGTCTATACCTTTATACTAACTCCTTATTTTATTAAAATATTTCCTGAGATGAGAATTAAAAAACAACCGAAGAAGTACAGGGATAATCAGAAAACTTTGAAGAATGAAGACGACTTTTAAACTCAAGTTACGACTTTAATAAGTGTTTCAACCTATTTGGTTCTTCTAGCTATTCTGGTGTCCATTGACTTTGGTTTACGGTTAAAAAGGAAAATTAAATCATCAGATTTTTGCATATTTCATGTACAAATTCTCTGTGCTGTAAATATCAGGTACAAGTTTTCTGTACTGTACATATCAGGTACAAGTTTCTATACTGTAAATTTCATGTGCAAGTTCTCTGTACTGTACATGTTATGTACAAGTTCTTTTCACGGTATATTTCATGTACAAGTTCTCTGCACTGTACAGTGTACATATCATGTACAATATCTCTGCACTTTTACATGTCATGTACATTTCATGTACAAGTTCTCTGTACTGAAAACATCATGTTCTCTGCACTATTCATATTATGTAATGTACATTTCATGTACAAGTTCTCTGTACTGTACAGCGTAGATATCGTGTACAAGTTCGCTGTACTTCACTGTATTCTACCTGTCTGTCTCTACAGTTGAGTGCTTCCTAGATACTCTCCGAGCGATGTTTTCTGTACTGTACGGATTGTACTGCAACTGTACAGCACCCTCTACCCACTTCCTGTGCTCTCTATCAGCTAAACTTCCTAAGCAATATTAAAGGGACTGAGTACTTCTAAATGTCAGGATGTTTAGAGTTGTTAAAGGGAATTTCTCTCTATTTAAAGAGTTTAGAACTCGTGTCCAATTCCCAATGGTACCCTATAAATCTCTAGAGTAACAATAAAAAAGATATTGTTGTTTAAATTTCTTTCAATGCCTCGAAGCAAAAATCTGCAAGTTAATTTTATAAAGAAACCACAAATAATTTAGCAATTTTTAAGTTAAGAAAGTTACGGTATCGGTGATTAATTCTGGATCACACAAAAATTGTAAATTTTGGTGCACTTGAAATCACATTTATAGTCCCATTGGGGTTTAAAATGAAGATTTATTTTTAATCTATTGCTTAATCTACTTTTTTTAATCTGAGCTTAATCTACTTTTTTAATCTGCGCTAAATCTACTTTTTTAATCTGTGCTAAATCTACTTTTTTAATCTGCGTTAAATCTATTTTTTCGGTAACATTCAATAGACCCTGGATTAAAATTTCAAAACTTGAATCGAAACAAATACTGATATCTAAGAGCTAGGACTTGAGATAGCTCCCCCATTGTTTTCCCTTAAAAAGACTGTAAGCATAACTTCAAGTGACCCTCCTTGAAAAGATGGCAATGCCCGATTCACAACGTATACATTCTCGAAACCTTAATCTGATCAAAAAATTAATTACATTAATTTCTCCATTGATTCTTATAAGAAAGAAATGCGCAAGTCACTTTCGCAGAGAAACCGCAAATGAAAATAAACAATTCAAAAAAAACAGAAACATGGATAACTAATTCATACTTGATCAGATTAAGTGTACCGTTGTAAATCGGGCATTGTCATCTTTGCATGGAATGTTGCTTTACTATTTATGTCCATTTGACAGCCCATTTTTTTTTAAATAATCTTTTTTGTTTGTTTATTTTCTTTTGGTTTTTAACAATTTTTTTTATCGATTTTTATGGTTATTATATCGTTTGAACTGACAAGGGTCAACCCAGACCAAAATATATTTTCAATAAATGTGGAACTAACATCTATTTTTTTTACTCTACAGAGGTTTGGTCCATCACCATCACCGAATTTTAAAGCTTAAAAATACGTTTACAGTCCCTTTAAGAACGTGCAGTAATACCTGGTATTGGAGCTTTATCCCTTCTATTTTCCAAGGTTGAATCAGTGTTAGTCTCTCCTACTTCTCCTCCAATCTGGAGATAGGTTAGTGTTGTATCTGTCCCCGTTTCTCCAACCTCTCCGTCCAGGCTGAGATGAGATACAAAAGAATCCGTCCTGGATTCTCCAAACAGTCCGTCCAAGATTAAAACCTTTTTAAAAATAAATCGTTATATAATATTCTCCAAATTTCACAAAGCAGTATATCACATGCGAATCACTCCTAAAAAACTGAAGCTACAACACAAGCGCTTATTCGACTTTAATCTTCATGAGTTTTGGTAACAACCTCCAATTTTTTAATTACTTTGCAACCTAAAGGTGTAACGCTTTGATATTTCAAACATACACAAATTGATAATTTGAAATATCAAAGGTCTATGGCATCAGATTATAAAAGTTACTACAATTAGAAAATCAGAGTTTGTGACAAAAACTCAGATTTTTTTTTTCGAACTGGATAGATTAGTCGAAATAGTTGTCCGAACCTGTTCATCTTTCTTGTTTTCTCCTTCTGTTGTAGATTCTCCAAGACTAGCGCCGGTCAACATGACATGGACATTACTAGGGGTCTGACCCTGGACATTTTTAGGGGTCTGACCCTGAACCTCAAGGACACTTCCTAAACCTCTGTTCTTTATCAGAGGAACGGAATCCTAAATCATTCTAACGTTAAATACTTTTTGTAAATGATGGATAAAGGAAATATGATTTTGTAATCTCTATATCTTTGCAACCCAATGTCGTTGACCTGAGATATTTCAAACTTTGAATTATTTGGGATTAAATATCCCAGGTATGAAATAACAAAGGTTTACACAATCAGGCTGCAAAGATAAGGGATTAAAATATCATGGTCTCTGGTAATTTTTATAGACCACTTAATTACTTAAAATTTTACTTTCGGTATTAATTTAAAAATCCAAGCTAACATCAAGTAAAGATAGAAAAGTTTCTAAAATACGCATTTCAAAACGAATGAAAAATTTGGAATCAGTTTTGCAGTATATTCCAAACATCACTTTTATTAAGTGTCCCCCCCCATGGCCCTGGCCTCCGTGGTGAAAGGGGTACCTGGAGATTTAATTGTATTCCTTGAATATCAGCGGAACATACACTCATATCCTCGTAGACATCCTAGAAGATGCAAAAAATCAAAAAATTTAGTTCTGTCATAATCTCAATTTGCAACCTGATTGTGAAAACCTTTTATTTATCCTTCTTAGCTAATTTGACCAACTGAATTTTAAATTTGAAATCTCATAAGTCCACAAAATCAGATTGGAGAGATATTGGGATTAGAAAATCAGAGTTGGTGGCATTGGGTTTTTAAAGATAAAGGGATTGGAAAATCATAATTTGAGGCAAAGACTCAATTCCTTTAAGATAAAATACTATGTAAATAAGCTGACTCACCTCTGAATCTTCCAGTTGGTCCTGTTCATCAGAAATCGTCCGGTTTGGAAGAACTGTGACCCTCCAGTCTCTAGTTGACGAACCCAACCTATTCTCTGATATAACAGAGAACTCACAGTTTTCCCTAATTTAGTTTTTCATTCATTTATTCATTCATTTATTCACTAATTTATTTATTTATTTATTTGATCATCCTCTCACAAGAAATCAAATAAAGTCAATTGATTGAAAAATCATATCTGAAAGGCCACTTGGATGAATAATGTTCCCTGCATGAGCATCAAAGAATGAATGAAGGAATGTATAATGTTGCCTGGATGAAAGTCTAAGAACGAATAATGTTTTCTGGATGAAAGTCTGAGGATGAATAAATGATAAATAAATGAATAATGTTGCCTGGATGAAAGTCTATGAATGAATAAATGAATAATGTTGCCTGAATGAAAGTCTATGAATGAAAGAATGAATAATGTTGTCTGGATGAAAGTCTATGAATGAATCAATGAATAATGTTGCCTGGATGAAAGCCTATGACTGAATCAATGAATAATGTTGTCTGGATGAAAGTCTATGAATGAATAAATGAATAATGTTGCCTGGATGAAAGTCTATGATTGAATAAATGAATAATGTTGCCTGGATGAAAGTCTATGAATGAATAGATGAATAATGTTGTCTGGATGAAAGTCTATGAATGAATAAATGAATAATGTTGCCTGGATGAAAGTCTATGATTGAATAAATGAATAATGTTGCCTGGATGAAAGTCTATGAATGATAAGCTTCCACTCTCCACCTCCACTGTACTCTACAAATATATAGAATATATTTACTCTGTAAACAATAAATATCTAATATCTATGTACATTGTCCTGCATTTATATTACATTAAGTACAAAAAATAATCTAACCAACTTTTCAAGACCAAGGTGCAACTAGAAAAGTTAGGTGGGGGGTTTGATTTATAAAAACAAACATGTTTTCAGAGCCCGCGATTTAAAAAACTGGGGAAAATACGGCTCGGGTCTAAGCTGTCGTTGGGCCTTACTTACGGCTTGAGCTTTCGGATTCAAGCTGCATCTTATTTTCCACAAAGTTCAGTTTAAAAAACCGGTTTAATATTCTATTTGGCGGATTTTCATGGTAGGAACTGGCGCATTCACAGTTTTTATGAGAACAAGGCGCAACATTGAGCCTTATACTCTACTAAAACCAACTAAGGTCGGTTTTATTTTCATTGGGCATAACTAATTAAGTCCAGCCGAAGATCTTGCAGCTGTCAATCACGTGACACAAGCTGTCGTCAGAGTTGAGTCTAAGATTGGGTCTAAAAGTCGGGTTTAAGGAATTACGGCTCGAGCCGAAGTTTTTAAATCGCGGGCTCTGGTTATCACGTAGTAAGTTTAACAATTTATAATTGCATTTTCTAACTTTTTGGTTGATAAATCAAATACAATTAAGATCCATAACACTGTCGAATAGGAAAATTTAAACTTAATTTAATTTTAATATCTATTTATGCAACTAGCTGTCTTGTGTTATCATGCGGGACAAAATGTCTTTTTTACTTTTTTCGTTTGTTTAAGATTTAAATCAAGATTTTTAATCACGAACGTTGTGACAAAAAATCTTGAATTTAAACCGAAAACAAACGAAAAAGTAAAAATCGCAACAAAAACATAATTTTTTAAATGAAACCACAAGACAGTTGGATATTTAAATTTTGTCAATTCAAGTTTAATAAAAATGTACGACTTTTTTTATTAAATTCCGCGAAATTAAAAGGGAAACCTGCGTTGATGGTTTAAAATGTTACTTATTTGCCTCGGGAAAAATAAGGAACTTTTTATACCCAACATCATGAAATTGTGAGTAAAAATGCGGGATAAAAGTGTGTTTTTGTTGTTGTTCTAAGGTAAATAATTTTACTAATAGCTTGAAATTATTATATGAAATGGGTCTGTATAAATGTTAAAATGTATAATTCTTGTAATTTATTTTCTTGGACTTTTTAAGTCTTAACACTTGAGTCTAACAATCGTCTTTCTATTTCAAAGAGTTAGGGTTCTCCCTGTATTATATAATTGGTAGTTTTATAAAACAATATTTTTTGCAGTTTACTTAAATCTTCTTAATATACATCCTTGCACACCATTGAATGACAAATTTAATTATTTTATTCCATTTTGAGAGAACTAATATCCCGTAATTTGAAAATCTTCAGAGATATTATTTCTCATAATTTTCCTGGGATATTATGAAAAATAATGTCCCAGAAGATTTTCAAATTACATGCCTAAGATTTTCACTGAAAAAAGCATTTATAATTTATTTTTAATTACATGCATAATATCAATTTTAAAGTCTAACAGGTGAAATTTTCAATAGAACAGTTTGATAGATAAAACACTTTTCCTACAGACTCAATCTTCATGGGATTTCGGTCAAAATTCAAGCCTTTAAATCCCGAACGTGGTGAGGGAGTAAAGGCTTAATTAAATAAAAATCCCGGCAAAAAATATAATGTCCCGTCGCGTATTAAAACACAAGGCATGCAGTTGCATAAATAGATAAAATTTAATTTTCCTGATTTATGCATTCTTTTCAATGTGCAATGTTATTCATTGTTCAATTTCATAAATTAATGTGCATTCAGCAACTCACTTTGAACGTCCTAAATATTGCGGAACGAGTTGAAATTTTTTTCTTTGATAGATTCATTGGGGGTTTTAAATACACCATGAATGAACGTGATATCGAAAAAAATAAATTGCAAGACGACATACAGGGTGTCCCAAGAAACATTGACAGTTCGGAAATTGTTGTAAATATCCTCTTCCATGAACTTTTTAAGTTCTTTGTTACCAAAGAAAATTAAAAAGACTTATCTCATGACAGTCATATTATTGTAAAATTGATTTTAAAGTAAAACTCATATGTTTTTTAGTAAAGGTTTTTATTTCTCTATGGACCGCCATTTTTTCTATATTTTGCCATTTTCTCTATATATATATATAAAACTAGCCTCAGAGGGCGCTTCGCGCCCATCTTCTAAATTGATTGTGAACATGTTCTCTTTGTGTACATCGTAAAACAAATCAAAAATAATTCGCGGATTTTCACAAACAATTTCGTGGATTTTCAAAATTTTCAAAAATTTAATGAAGATCGAATTTTGATGGAGACAAATATTTGAAATTTTAATCATTCATAAACTTTCCCTGGGGTCCTGTGAGGTCCCACAAAAAATTTGGGCCCGATCGGTTCAGCCGTTTTGACGTTTATTGGATACAAGCAGACAGACAAACAAACAGACAGACAAGCCAAATTTATATATAGATATCATTTTATTTCTTCTGAATATAGAAATATATTCTCACGTACTTGAAATGATATACAGATGTTTATCATTCAAATATAGAACCAAGGTTTAACAACAAATATTTAAAATACATTTTCCGGGAACACATTTTCCTATTTATTTATCAACAGCTTTCGAACCTTCAGCATATATTTGGATCTAAGTTGGGATCATATGGTAGCGAAATCATACCAAATTAGGAAACCCTACTTTCAAAGTGGTGTAAAAAATGTAAAAAAATGTGAAAACACAAATTTTATGCTTCTGATGATCCCCGAGTTAGCGAAGTAATCAAGGACCAAATTTATTAAATTTGAGCTACGTCTTTGAACAACCTACTGCCGGTTCAAACTTTAACCACAGGTTTAAAGTTACAGTGGCCGAATTTAAAGAATTTGAGCGGCGGTTTAAATTCAAGCAGCGGCTTAAATATGGTTGGTTCCACTTAAAATTGTATCAAATGTTTCAAGATTTAAGCCGGCACTTAATTTAAACCGGGTTTTGGCAGATTTAAACCGCGGTTCAAATTCTTTAAATTCCATCTCAGGTTCAGAAAGGATTTTAATTGGGTGATTTAAATTTGATCCGGCAGTAAGCAGTTTAAAGGAATTGAGTTTTTGCCACAAACTCTGATTTTCTAATCCCTATATCATTGCAACCTAAAGTTGTAAACCTTAGATATTTCAAACTATGAATTATGTTTGATCAAATAATCTTAATTTGAATATCAAATGTTTACATCGACATCATGTTGCAAAATTATATTTATTAAAAAATTTGAATTTGTGGCAAAGACTCAATTCCTTTATTAAATTCGTTTCCAATTCTTTTCACATTGTTATAACTTGACATCTGTTTTACCTCATTCATAAAACCAGGTTTAGATTCGTTCAGATCCGTGGTTTTACCCTGTCCCTAGTTTCAGGGCTTTATATTTGAATGTTTTCCAGCAGAAGGGTTCCAGAATAATGTTTACAAGACACTTTTTTAGAACATTTTAAAAATTCAAATCTTTACGATTCAGCCTGCTTATTAACAGTCTCATCAATTTTTAAGACAGGGTCGACTTTGAAGTGTCGCAACGCCTTGGGCTTAGATTTTACCGCTCTAACTCACTTATGCTTTTCTGTAGGCCTTAACTGTACATTTTAGCATTGTAAGCTTTGGTCTTTAAAAAATTAATCGGCAAAAATCTCATTGATTTTTGCCTATGAGCGAAAGACCTTTAAATCACAGTGCCGAGGTCGTAACAGGGAGAAGTATAAGAACTGGGAACATAGAGTTGAAATAATTCTCAAGAATAGTCCGGAGTAGGTTCAACTAGACAAACCTAGTTCAACTACTTCTTGATATTTATTAATCTCAACCTTACCTATTCCACAGTTCTCGTTGTCCTGCAGTAGTTTACCCCCGCGGTAAAATGAAACCCTGGGTTCAGGATATCCAGTCACGTGACATGATAGTTCCAGGGTTTCCCCCTCCTGGTAGGTCAGGGGTAGCAGCTCAGATACAACCTCAGGTGGGTGCTCAGCTCTCCGGGTCTCTAAAAAAGGATTTAAAAAGAAATATAAAAGGAATTGATTACTCGCCTAATTCTTATCTCTCTCACATCCTATTATCTTTAAACCAGATTACACAGATATAAAAAATACAAAATTATGGATTAGTCCATTTTGACTAACTAAAAAAGTATCATTTTAATTTAAAACAAGTTTGAAAAGCTTTGGCTGATGAACTAGATATAATGAAAACTGATTTTTCCCAATTGTGGGGTTTACACAAGAAAACATATTTTTAGAATTTAACTCTTATAAACATAGAAACATGTCAAACTCCTTTCACATTATTGATATATGTTTCAAAAGTATAATTACGAATCTGACATTGCCAAAAGAATTGAGTCTTTGTCACTAACTAAAATTTTCTAATCCCTATATCTTAAGAACTTGAAGGTGCAAACCTTTGAAATTTCAAACTTAGATTATTTGATCTACCAGCCTTCATAGTTTGAAATATCTAAGGTCTACGGCATTGGGTTGCAAAGATATAGGGATTAGAAAATCTGAGTTTGTGGCAAAGACTCAAATCCTTTTTATGGAGCGTCACGTGATATTACGCCTACAGCCCCTTTGATAACTTTATATTAAACCGATGAGATTGATATTGGATTAATTTTAAAAAAAGATGAATATAATGAAGTTAAGGAAAACTACAAAGTTATAGATGAAAACTTTAGACTTGTAAGGATTTATAGGATTAATGGATATACAGATATTTAATTAACGTTAATGAAGTAGACATGAGCAAATATATGATTAACTTTAATTAGCAAAATTACTGGATCATGAAATTAAAGGGATTACTTATGGTTTTTTAAAGAAGGCTGAGGAACCAAGTTACAGAAAGTTTGGTCGTTCAGTACACCTTCAGTTAAAATCCATGCTCACTCTTTTTAAGGGAATTGTTTTCAAATATTTCGAAAATATAAACACAACTATATCTTACCACTCAAAAAAAATGTTTCTAAGGGTGAAAATGGTTCGTTACATGCCTATCGAACAAATCTTTATGCATCCTTAAATCCTTAAAAGATCCTTAAAAATCCTTATTTGACAGCCCAAATTTTTATTTTGAATAATCTTTTTTGTTTCTTTATTTTCTTGTGATTTTTAACAAAAAATTTAAAATTTTTTTTTACCGATTTTGATGGTTATTATATCGTTAGAACTGACGATGAGGGTCAACCCAGGCCGAAATATATTTTCTATAAATGTGAAAACTAACATCTACTTTTTTACTCTACAGAGGTTTGGTCCATCAACATCATCAACAAAAATCCTTTTGTTTTTGCCCAAAAAACGGGTTTGTTATATCTTTCAATTTTTCAAAACGATAATGTTTTTTTCCCTTATAAAAAATATTCAAAGCTGCACAATAATTAAACCATTTTTGGTTAAAATCTGTTTTGTTGTGTGCCGAATAAAAATTATTGAACAATCCTTTTAATTGTTTATATTTTTTACCTTTAACGTTGATATTAAAAGAATGCCATATTTCTCCTGTTCTGTTTAATGCAAGCATCGTATACTTTCCTGTATCCAGCCTAAAATATTTAATATCCGGCCCAAAATATTTAATATCCGGCCTAAAATATTTAATATTCGGCCCAAAATATTTAATATCCGGCCTAAAATATATAATATCCGGCCTAAAATATTTAATCTTTTTCATTTACTTTTCTAAGATATTTGTTATTTTCACCAACTCTGGCAATTGATCAAAAATTACAAATTATGAACATCTTTTTATATTCAAATAATTATTCCAGGCAAATATGTACATAGAAATGTGATTTGATAAACGGAATTTTCGATAGAAAAAACTGATTACTTTTCACAAACTCAAATGTTCTAATCCTTATATCTTTGCAACATGATGTTGTGCAAACCTTTTATAAAAAGTTATAGTTTGAAACATCAGGCGTCTACATAAAAATATAAAATTTGTATTTGTGCCAAGGGTTTAGTTCCTAGTTATGCTCTAAAAAATAATTTTACATTTTGAATAATAAATGTTAAGCGGGGGTATGCGAAAAAATTCAAGAATTTTACTTGTCTGCATCAAAGAGAAAGAGATCTCTACGCCCTCTACCACTCCTGTTCCAAACACGTGAACTAGGCGTGATCTCTGCTCCTTCTCTATACCAGAATACGTCTAAAACACAATAATCAGTCTCTTTAAAGGGACCTTAATTTTAATTGAAGAGAGACATCCCCGATTTACAACGGTACCCTTAGATTCATCGAAGACGACAGACTTTTCCTTATTTAACTACAGGATCAGATGTTTCCTTATTTAACTACAGGATCCCTTGAAATCATTGAACACTTTTATATTACTAGGCTTTTAGGGCGCTTCGCGCCCATCTTCTATTTAAATTGTGAACATATGTTCTTTTTGTTTACATTTTAAAACAAAGAAGAAAAATTTTTTGCGGATTTTAAAAAAAATCGCGGATTTTCAAGAATTTTTTTTCTCACAAAATTAAAAACCTTTAAAACACATTTTTTAAAAAGTTTTAATCATTCATAAACCTTTCCTGCGCCACCCCACTCAGAGATCCTATATCTAGGTTCTCATCGTAGCTGTTCTCTTGTCCTCTTCACCTCCAGGATGGCACCGCTAGTCTTTATACTATTGTGATCTTTATCTTGTCCATTGCTTTCCTATCTCTTTTTTGCCTTATCTCTAGCGGTGTCCTTTTTCCAGATATATGCCAAGAAAACAAACAAACAAACAGACAGACAAGCCAAATTTATATATAGACTAGCCTTGGAGATATTATAGAATATTAACATTTACCTCTTCGAACTGGTGGAATATAAATATTCACATTCGAATTTTTGGAGATATTCTAGATATTCTAGATTTTACATTTGTGACATATCTGCGTTGACTTCACACAGTACGCTAGTTTACACCCAAAATATACGGATTTTTACACAGCATTTAATAGATGTATAAGAATATACTGAGTTCTCTGTCCTCGATAATCAATCAAATTATGAAAGTGTACAATTTTGAATCGGGAAGTCCTTCTTTAAATGGAATGTTACTTGAAATTTCGCGTACAGTCCCTTTAACATTTGAGAATATGATGGATTCTGAAAAAAATTTTCAACTTAAAAAAATTATACCTAGAATTGTTTTTAACACAACAAACTTATAATTTTCAATTGAAAAGAATATGATAGTCTGTGAATGTATTTAGGGATAAAAATATACATTTTTTTAAAGCCCATTTTTACTTCACCAGGCATTCCGAGAGAGTCATTTTTTCAGTAAAAATTTTAGCTTTTAGATGTTGTTTTAGGTCACCATTTTTTTTAAGTTTCACGCATTTTCTCTGTTTTATTTATATTTTATATTTCCCATATTTTTTTAAAGGTTGTTTACAGCAATTTATCGTAAAAAAACGTAAAATAAAAACACTCCAAAAAGTTTCCTTTTGTTTAATTAAATGTTGAATAATTTTTTCTACTTTTCAAAGTGCATTTTATTTTCAATTTTGAACAAAAAAAATCAAAAGAGGAAAAGCGAGACAAAGAATCTTTTTCCCAAAAAAAGGAATCATAGTTAGAAAAAAAGGTGAAACCAGTAGAATTTTTTTTTCCTTGAGTACTCTCAATTTTGACACTGTCCCTTTGATACTAGAACTAAAATATTCCAAGGTTTTTTATCAATTAAGCTACAAATATAAAACACATCGAAAAATGCATTAAAATGAAATTTATCATGTACTTTGACGCAAAATGATTACAACGTTGCATATTAGCCAAAATGATTACAACGTTGCATATTAGCCAAAATGATTACAACGTTGCATATTAGCCAATAGATGGCATAAAATATAAACATTATTAAAGCATAAAAAGTGGCAGATTATGACTAATTTAAAAATTCAAATAACGCAAAATGATAATAAGCGATTTTCATTAAATGATGCATTATGATGATTTGACGCAATGTTACCTATAGGCCTGGAACCAGTAAACTGTACGCAAATCTGGATCAGTTTCCCTGTGTGCGTACTAATCAAGCGTAAGATTCAAATCAATTATATTTCTATATCTCTCTTATATATGCAATATGCATTTTGAATATATTTCGTTCCGGAATAATCAGTAAATTGTTATTTAAGACTTTGCTGATATTTCAGCCATAACTTTTATAGACTTTTCTTAGATTGATTGTATTTAAGTTTATCTTCAGACGTATAAAAGCAAAAAATTGTTGCCTTAAGATTGAAAAACTGCAACAATGTAATTGTACATTCATAATAATGTTTAAAATTCATTTTTAAATTTAAATTTTTAAATTTCATTGTTTTGCAATTTTTTATGAATCTCTTCCTGATATCATTTGGAGCACAGACTAGTTCAATATCACAGCCCGGGGTATTTATATTAGAAGCTCCATAAGCTCCCAACCCTGGATTATCAGCTCCATAAGCTCCCAACCCTGGATTATCAGCTCCAAAATCCTCCATTGAGAAGTTGGCACTTCCTAGAATCACAAAAAAATCTTTTAAAAATTTAATTGAAGATAAATGATTTATCTGAACAATATTTTTAATATTACTACAATAAGAACCAGAACATTGCAACTTTAAACCGTTTTAGTTGAATTCTCAACTTTTATTCAGAGGTTTTTTAATGGAATTCAGTCTTTGCCACAAAAGCTAATTTTCTAATCCATATATCTTTGCAACCTAATGGAGTACATATTTGGATCCTTTCATTCAAAGAACTTTTTAAGGAATCTAAGCGTTAAAGTTTAAAGAAATCACAAAGACGACAATACTAAATAGTATTGGTAATTATTGATATGCGTATTGTAAATCGATGATATAAAATAAATTATGTGACAGAGAAGAAAATTGTTGCGTAAAGATCGTGCGCCTGATGCCATCTGCGTCACAAAGTGCAAAAAGTTACACACTTCTTTGATATCAATTTGAACACTGAACTAGACAGAAACTGAACTAGACAGAAACTGAACTAGACAGAAACTGAACTAGACAGAAACTGAACTAGACAGAAACTAAACTAGACAGAAACTAAGCTAGACAGAAACTGAACTAGATAGAAACTGAACTAGACAGAAACTGAGCTAGACAGAAACTGAACTAGACAGAAACGGACCTAGACAGAAACTGAGCTAGACAGAAAATGAACTAGACAGAAAACTGAGCTAGACAGAAACTGAACTAGACAGAAACTGAACTAGACAGAAACTGAACTAGACAGAAACTGAACTAGAAGATACTGAACTAGACAGAAACTGAACTAGACAGAAACTGAACTAGAAGATACTGAACTAGACAGAAACTGAACTAGACAGAAACTGAACTAGACAGAAACTGAACTAGACAGAAACTGAACTAGACAGAAACTGAACTAGACAGAAACTGAACTAGAAGAAGAAGGTCAAATTTATGCAACATTATTGGTAGAACTTTGTAACCTTAATTAGCTCCTGTATGAGGACAACAAATTTATCCTGACTAGGCATTTAGGGCGTTTCGCGCCCATCTTATATTTAAACTTATAATTGTGGCTTTATCTATGAGCATCTTTTCTTTGTACAGTGTAAAACAAAAACAAACAAAAAGTTTGCGGATTTCTTAAAATTTTTTCGCCCATTTTCAAAATTTTAAAAAAATAAAAAACTTTTAAACGCAAATTTTTTTTAATTTCGATCATCCATAAACCTTCCCTGGGGTCCCTAGATGTCCCACAAAAAATTTGGGCCCGATCGGTTCAGCTGTTTTGACGTTTATTGGATACAAACAAACAAACAGACAGACAGACAAGCCAAATTTTTATTTATCCTGATAAAGATTAGAAAACATTTTTGTTCTTCTACAATAAGAGCTAAGTTATGATTATAAACTATAAGATATCAATCTAACGTACTTTACTTTGACGGGAATGGTTTGGATTTTGGGTATATCAATACTTTTAAAGTTTAAATTGAGTCCAATTAAAACTAAATCGATATCTATTTCTAAATAGATTGAGATAAGAAAAATCTCTATAATTCAAGGATTCAAGTTTTTATTTAAGATATTTAGAGAATTTAAAAAAAGAAAGTCTCAACAATTTTTGGCAAGTTAAAGATAATATGTAAGTTAACAATCCATTTATATAAAAATCGGCCACAGATGGCGCTAAATAAAGTACAGTACAGTATCTTGTTAAACCTTGTTTATATAATCGATTGAGAAGATAAAATGACTCCGGCGAGGCCATAGAGTAGGATATTATTTAGAGCAATGACAGCTTAGATCTCTGTTTATTTATGCTATTTCGAGATCTAAAAGTCCTGACCGGGCAACTTTTAAAATGACGGAACTAAGAAATTGAGTCATTGCCACAAACTCAAATGTCTTTGCAACCTGATAATTGAAATATAAGGTCTTCGCCATTTGGTTTCAACGATGTAGGGATTATAAAATCTGAGTTTGTGCCAAAGGAAAATGCGCGAGTTAGAGTTATCTATAGTGTACAGTACTCTAAGGTTTGGAGGATTACTTGAATACCAACTGGAGAAAGTGAACCAGGGTCCAGGGACAAGGTTCAAAGAGAATTAAATATGATTGAATATCTAATTGTTTAATTATAAAATCAACTTGATACGTATATATATTTCATCACACAAAGTACCAGCCATCTTGGTTCTAATTTAGTTTATTTTTTTTTTTCGTAAATATTTTTTAAGAAAACATTTTAAATATGATTGTTTTGATTAGAAAACAAAAATATTGTTAAACCAAATATTAAAAAAAATACCTAAAAGTTGACTAGAGTCCCTCCTGTGAGGTATATGACTATATATTGTATATTCTTGATCTTGCTCATTATCCTGTTCTTCTGTATCTCGTTCTCCTTCTCCTCCTTCCTCCACTCTCACAACTTGTATTAACTCTTCTCCCTAATAAAAAAGTTTAAGAATTTATTACTGGAAAAATACGGATTGTTAAAGGGAAAGGTTTAAAATTCTGACGTTATTTTCAATTTTGACCAGCCATAAACCTTCCATAGGGTCTGGTGAGATACCACAATAAATTGGGACCAATCAGTTTGATTTTTTTGACGTTTATTTGTTACAAATAAACAAACAGAAAGAGACAACCCATTTTACAAGTCAAATAAATGCATAGATCGCTGCGTGGTACAGCAAAACCATTCTATTCGTATTCTTTTTAAAAGTTCTATTTTCAAATTAAAGTTTATAATTCTTTCTTACAATCTGGACAGAAGAAGATAAAATATAATCTTTGGATTTAATGTGACCTCATGGGGTAATTAATTTAAAACTTTTAATTCTGTGAGTTCAACCATTTTTATTTACTACACTTTTAATATTATTTTTTAAAAACATAATATTCAAGAAACTGTAATATGAATAAAGTGAATAAAGTGAATAAAGTGAATACAGTGAATAAAGTGAATAAAGTGAATAAAGTGAATAAAGTGAATAAAGTGAATAAAGTAAATAAAATGAATAAAATGAATAAAGTGAATAAAGTGAATAAAGTGAATAAAGTGAATAAAGTGAATAAAGTGAATAAAGTGAATAACGTGAATAAAGTGAATAAAGTGAATAAAATGAATATTTGTACCTCCATTTCTTCATCACTAGAACTAAGTTCAAGGGACCCGATGGACTGGCGTTCAGATAGCTCGGAAACCTAGATCAAATCCAAATTACATACAGTGATATTGTTAAAGTGTAGAATAACTGAAATATTTTCGAAAGTACGAACATTTCATTAGAAATTTTGAACAGAATGTTAAGATTATTGTGCAAATACCTCTCATGACAACCTAACCTAACCCCCGCCCCCTACCTGGTCTGCGTCCCTGTCCCTGGTCTGCGTCCCTGTTCCCTACCTGGTCTGCGTCCCTGTCCCCTACCTGGTCTGCGTCCCTGTCCCCTACCTGGTCTGCGTCCCTGTTCCCTACCTGGTCTGCGTCCCTGTCCCCTACCTGGTCTGCGTCCCTGTCCCCTACCTGGTCTGTGTCCCTGTCCCCTACCTGGTCTGCGTCCCTGTCGCCTACCTGGTCTGCGTCCCTGTCCCCTATCCTGACTCCACTTGTCTGGAAGGGGTTTGGAACTAGCATAGATACAGCCTGGTTCAAGGAGCAACTACTCTCCCTTCTCCCTCCTCCAGTAGCAGGGAAGGATTTCCTGGAGATTATAAAAATTTATTCATTTGGATTTTCGATTTGAAAAGGAATTGCAAAAGATAAGTCATGTTATCGCCTTGTCTGTGCTCTAAAAGTTTTTGACAGAAACTCAAATTCTATAACTCCAATATCTTTGAAATCTGTTGGTGCAAACCTATGAATTTTTGTCAAGCTCATGGTCAAATAGAGCTCATAGTTTAAAATATCAAAGGTCTACGACATTGCAAAGATATATGGATTAACAATCAGAGTTAGCGGCAAAAACTATTTTCCCAATTTTTTTTGTATATTTACATATTAATCTTTACATTAAATTCATTTAAATTTGAAATGTTTTACCTAAATAACCAGTTGTCCTCCCAGCAGTTTACCGGGACCTTAACCTGGTGTAGACATACCTCATCTAAATATACAATCATTAACTAGGATATAACCTCAATTAACTAGGATATAACCTCAGATAAATATACAATCATTAACTAGAATATAACCTCAGCTAAATATACAATCATTAACTAGGATATAACCTCAGCTAAATATACAATCATTAACTAGGATATAACCTCAGCTAAATATACAATCATTAACTAGAATATAACTTCAGCTAAATATACAATCATTAACTAGGATATAACCTCAGCTAAATATACAATCATTAACTAGGATATAACCTCATCTAAATATACAATCATTAACTAGGATATAACCTCAGATAAATATGCAATCATTAACTAGGATATAACCTTGCAGCTAAATATACAATCATTAACTAGGATATAACCTCAGCTAAATATACAATCATTAACTAGGATATAACCTCATCTAAATATACAATCATTAACTAGGATATAACCTAAAATATTATTATATTAAAAAATTTTAAATTCTAACAATTGAACAGAGCATCGCATCAAAAAAAATAGTATTAGAAAAGACTTTGTGTTCACGCATAAGCATCTATTATATGAGTTTTACAAAAGAACAAAAACCTCTTGACGTCAATGTTTCAAAATCAATATTTGAAGAATTCGTTTAACAATTATTTTAAGGTTTTGAACTTTTAGTTTTTAAATTTTCCTTTTTTAACCAGCGTAGTTTCTTACCAATAGTATTTAAACTAAAACTTTACCCCAAATTGACTTTATCTGCGTTTTCTGGAATGACCTTAAACTTTGCTTGGTATTGACGATAAACTTTATTTGGAATAAACCTTAATTTTACATAGAATAGACCTTATACTTTACATAGAATAGACCTGAAACTTTACTTGGAATAGGCATTAAACTTTACTTGGAATTTACCTTGACCTTACATGGAATAGACCTTAAATTTTACATGGAATAGACCTTAAATTTTACATGGAATAGATCTTAAACTTTACTTATAATTTATCTTATCTTTACATAGAATAGACCTTAAACTTTACATTAAATGACTTGAAACTTTACTTTTAATAGGCATTAAACTTTACTAGGAATAAACCTTATACTTTACATAGAATAGACCTTAAACTTTACATGGAATAGACTTTAAACTTTACTTGGGATTTACCTTAACTTTAAAAGGAATAGATCTTAAACTTTACATGGAATAGATCTTAACTTTTACTTATAATTTATCTTATCTTTACATGGAATGGACCTGAAACTTTACATGGAAAAGGCATTAAACTTTACTTAGAATTTACCTTGACCTTAGACTTTAAACTTTACATGGAATAGACCTTAAAATTTTCTTGGAATAGACCTTAAACTTTTCATGGAATAGACCTTAAACCTTGCGTGGAATAGGTCTTAAACCTTACTTGGAATTCACCCTATACCATACATGGAAAAGAGCCTTAGGCTTTACATGGAATATACCTCCAACTTTACTTGGACAAGACCGTAAACTTTACCAGGAAAGATCCTGACCTGATTGATAATCCTGATCCACAAGATCAATCCCAAACTCAGGGAACGGGACGGGTTCGGAGTTCTCCAGGAGCGGAGACAGCAGGAGGGAATGCCGCTCACTGGAGAATACGAACGGAGTAAGGACGTCTTCATCAGATTCATAAACCGTTACAACCTCTTCAAGCTCCTCCTCAATCTGGAAATGTTATCAATATTTTAAAGGGAGCGTTTAAAAAAATGAAAAGGGGTGTATCATGAAACATCGGCCAGTTCTCCCTGAGACTTCCCGCTTCATTTTTAGGAGTTACTTCTCTTGGCAGGAAAATCGTTTTAATTTTCTCCAATCAGTCCCTTACTAGTTATTGGACAGGTATTTAAAATGTAAGGGGTGTTTATTACAGTGAAATACAGTGGTCCATGTTTATTTCAATACAATGATGATAACTTTTAATTCAAGCTTTGATTTCTAACCATGGCTATTAGTTACCAGAGACACATAAGTCATTACACATGTACATTAATAGAAGCTGTTGAAAAAAAAATGTTATTTGTTATACTAGTATTACAGTTTACTATCTTATGAAATTAAATCTAATTATAAACATTTACTGAAATGTTCAGGTTTATGTATTTTTTATGTATATAAACCTGGAACCAAACTACAGATGGAATATGAAGTATACGTCTTGATCAATTTATGTAGATACTTCATATGCACTTCATATCCCGTGCAGCTGACATTAAAAACTCATCCAGAGATTTCAGACCCCCCCCCCTCCTCCCCGCAACAAAAAAAAGACAAACAGACCTAAACTTCTATATATTTGAGTATATTGAACATTAAAACCTGAATCTTAAAACAACAATATTTATTTAACAAAGATTATATGCCCCTTTAATTAACAGCTTCTCTTTGTTTGTATGTGTTTTTGACTCTGGTTAATTGGAAATCAAAGCTTGATTAGAAATTCGTCATAATTGTCATAATTGTACTGAAATAATGTTTAAAAAAAAAAAAAAAAATTATGATAAAAGTCAAGCAGTTTTTGGTTGTTTTGATATAGGCCGTCGTTGTTATAAATAAATAAAATGAAAATTTTATTTATTTATTTTATTTTAGGACAAGTCTGCAAAAAATCATTTCTCACCATTATATTAGAGTTTTGTAGTTCCGACATATCCGACATTGGTGACACATTCTCCGATCTTTGGTTTCGGATCGGCGGGAGAGATCTTTGGTTCAGGATCGGCGAGAGAGATCGGCAAATAGGATGGAGGGGTGAGCTAGCTCGACTAAACAAACAAGGATTGTATTTCAACGATCAAAGACAATCTAACTAAATGTGCGATCTTCCCAATATCATTTCTTTATTTTTTAATGTTTCACATCTTCAAACTAACGTTTTTGGTAGCTAAGTACCCGTGACAATTTTTAGAATTGATAGAAATACTATAAGTGTAAGTACTTTGTGTTGTAAGAGAAGGCAATAAACATCATGTATAGAATAATTATTTTGTATAATAAAGAAAAACAACATAAAAATCTTACAGTAATCTTAACTTCTCCAGAATGTATTAAAGGAATTGAGTTTTTGCCACAAACTCTGAGTTTCTAATCTCTATATCTTTGCAACCCAATGTCGTAGACCTTAGTCACTTCAAATTATGAATTCTGTTAGATCAAATGATCTAAGTTTAAAATAGCAAAGGTATACACCATCACGTTGATAAGATATAGGGATTAGAATATTTGAATATTTGGCAAAGACTCATGGATCAATTATTAAATCAGTGTAATTAGAGTTCTTAATCGGTTTGCTTCGTTTTTAAAAAGTTTGCAATATTTTTATCCCAAGAAAAAAAGGGGAAACGAGCCAATAACGATAGTATTAACGTTATTTTTTGGTTCGTTTTTGCAATTTTTTCTCCCAGGGTTAAAACTTTAGAAAAACAACTTTTTTAAAACTTTTAAAAGTCCCAAAACCCTGAAAAACGAACCAACTTATTGCACATCAAAAAGTATGATGCATTTAGAGTTCGCATATCTTCTAGTATATCCTCCTATCACTCTAGTATACTCTCCTATCACTCTAGTATACCCTCCTATCACAACAACTTTACTTTTCAACTGAAAGGCTTGAATACTGTATTTATTAGGTTTGCAGAAAAGGGAACGAGTCGAGAATTAATTCTAAACCTGCTCCAACAAAAAGTAGAGAAACAATGTAATTGAAAATTTTATATTTCGTCGTAATTCAAGGTTGTCACAAAACAATGAAAATGATAGAATATTAAAAAAGATTTTATTTAGAATAATAAAATACGCGCTTTGGGGTTTAAAAGAGGAAAAAAATGAATCAACCAAAACATGTTTAAATAAGAAAACTGAGTTCTTGCCACAAAATCTACATTTCTAATCCCTATATCTTTGCAACCTTAACATAATTCATAGTTTTAAATATCGAAGGGTTACGAAAAGATATTGGGCCGGATTAGATAGTAATTATGATAAGAATTCAATTTCTTTCAACTAGATTTTTTCAAAAATAATTTTTTACAAATGTTTTTGGATTGCAGATTGTTTCCTTGTCCTCTTTCTTATTTCGAATCGGAATGGGCGGGTGGGGGCCGGGGGGGGGGAGTAATTTATTTTCTGAGTACACCATATAAGAAGCAGTGCAGTAAGTGACATTATTCGCTTAAATGGAATAGCATGTATGTTTCTTATATTTCTTTATAAAAAGGAAACTGAAGCTTTATTTGTTTACCTAGTTTCCGAAGAAGAAGAAGAAGAAGAAGAAGAAGAAGATGATGATGAGGAGGAGGAAGATAATGTGCTCCCATCTCCAAACCCACTTGTTGAAGATTTAACACTATGTGTTAGTATTCTAAACAAGAAAATAATAAATAAATACAATCTATATTGACAATTAATGTGTATACTATGCTTGTCTGTGTGTTTGTTTGTATCAAGTAAACGTTGAATGGCTTAACCAATTATTTAATGTGGGACCTTGCATGTCCCCAGGGAAGGTTTTTGATGATAAGAATTTTAAAAATTTGCCTTTTAAAATTCGATTTTCATTTAAAAAAAATATTTTAAAACCGCAAACTTTTTTGTTATTGTTTTTTAATGCATAGAAAAAATGTTCACAGATATAGAGCAACAATTACAAGTTGAAATAGGCGCCGTGAAAGCCTTGTATGTATATAAAGTTGTGATCTCTGCTTTTCATGTTTGTTTATTTGGTATTTTTTGTTTGTTAGTATGTCCAATCAAGTTTTGTTCAGATAAATTTTGTCTTCAAAATATAATTTTTCAAAATCCACTAATGAAGAAAAAATCTGCGAAATCTTAAATTTGATTTTGTTTAAAATGGTGCGCAAATGGTGAACGTTCGCAGGCAAAAAACAAATTAAGTTCAAGGAAATGCGCGAAGCGTTCTTAAATCTTGTTTTTTTTCTGAAAAGGACGAGGACATCTGCTTAACATAGTGGTAATTGACACAACTGATTCTTTGGTTGAATTAATTGATGAATTCATTCGTTAAGGAAATAATTAATCAATAAATAATAGTTATTTAAAACTAATTTAAAGGGAAGTTAAGGGAATTTTACTTTACCAAGGGATCCCAAGAACAATTTCCCAATTTGATTGAATAATTTAATAATCAATTTGATTAATTCAATTTGTACCTAATATTCTGAACCGGGTTAAACTCAGACTGAGATATACATCTATCCTTGAATCTTCTTAGAACAGAACTTTCTTGACTTTCCTCTTCTCCTTCTTCACCTTCACCTTCTCCTTCTGCTTGTTCTCTTCGTCCACCTCCATTTCTTCTTTCTTCATCTTCCTGTCCTTTACTCCCTCTTCTCCTATCTTCCTTTCTTTCAAATCCGTTTAGCATTTCTTTCTCGCATTCAGCAGATATCTAAAAACAAAAGTAATAAATAAAATGTATACACTGAGAACCAGGCAGCTGTGGAATAGGAAGACAACATAATAGCAATTCTGAATTGTGTATTTGAAGTTGTTACACGGTGTTAGTAACTAATACACGTGGATTTAACTGTTCGGTTAATATTTCAGAAAACTGTGATCAAAATTTGACCACTTTTACATCGTTTTATAGCCTTTTATCTAAAATATTTTTTTGTTGGCATATACATTTTGAATGAAAAAGTATAAAATAAACAAATCTGTAAGTTTAAAGACTGTTGAGTTATAGACGAAAACACGTTTGATTTCAATTAAAAGAAACCGAATGCTTCTCTCTCCGGTTAGTTTGGGGTGAATAAAATCACTTATCAAATTAAATGGCTCTGTTTAACTCCACAATGACCTCAAAAAGTGTTTATTTCTGTGAGTTTCTCCATTGCTTCTTAGAAACAAGAAACCTTGATTTCTAATATATACTTGATCAGACAAATGTTTCAATGGTACCGTTGTAAATCGGGCATTGTCATCTTTGCAAGGAGGTTTAATTGAAATTACGCTTACAGTCCCTTTAATAGAGTTAAAGAACAAGATTGTATATTAAATGCCATACTTGGTCGGCTTTAAATTGTCATGTTTAGCGGGCCACCCTGTATCTGCTTCTTTCAAGTTTTTAATTAAACCACTAATAGAGACGTCAGTAGAGTTCGGTTACATTAAATCAATCAATATTTCTTCACAATCTTGTATATATATAATATAGATATTTTTCATGGTATCTATATAATATAGATATTTCTCATGGTATCTATATGTATAGATTTATATATTTTTTATTTAAAGCCAAGGTTAATTTCAAAGTACAAAATGACAACAGTATAAGCAAATTACTATAGTTTATTAATCAATTTGAAAGAAAAAATGTTGCATTAAAAAATAACATGATAAAATAAATGAAAAAAAAAACTTCTTTTTCAGCTGTAAAATGATATTTTTAAGATACAAAAACGACAGGTTGGTCTTCCTCATACTCGATGGTTGCCGTTGTGAATCGGGTATATCATCCTTTAAACCTTGGGTCTATTGTAATTTTGTCGAAAATCCCTTTTAAGGGAGTGACCGGCTATGTAATTCTGGAATCGTATCCACCCCAAAAACAGGAGTTTTGAACCTCGAATTTGCGCTCAAACTCAGGATTTACAGATCTTTAAAAAGTTTAATATGTCTCAAATGAACCCGAAAGAAGTTTTCCACAACACTGCATACTCAGTTCAACTACCTTACATAGCCGGTCACTCCCTTTAACTCTATCAAATGGATTGATTTGAACTGAATAGAATCTAAAAGATCAAGGATTTTGATCAATCAATGAACATTCTACAGAAATATCTTTTCAACCCGGGTTGAGTCAGTAGGTAAGAAAGTGAGGGGGGGGGGCAAGGTTCCAAAGTTTTGTGGGGGGGGGGTTACAGTTTACAAGATTTTTTCAATCTTGTAACAAAATAATTGTAGGAAAGGAATAAATTGTGTTATGAATATTTTATATTTTAATTTTAGAAGACAAAGTGACGGTACATCGTGTACTGTACTGCACTGTACCGACATAATTTACAAATATAAAATATATTCTAGTTTTTAAACATCTCATCAATACCTTGAATGATATCTCGTTTTTCAAACATGTCCGAACTGAAAGCATAGTTTCAATGACAATGTCAGATTCCCAAAAGTACCCGCAAAATCAACTGATTAAGTGTGAATTAGATATCACTAAATATATAATTTCGAAAACTACAAAAGTGACTTGCGCATTTCCACTGCAGGAAAACATTTAAAACTTTAAATCTAGAAAAACGAAACTTATTGATTAGATAAAGAGTTCAAGGGTATCGTTGTGAATCGGCCATTGCCATCTTTGTCTGGAGGGTCATAATCATATTAACACTCAATGTTTCTTTAAAATAAACTAACCCGCTAGGGGGAGAGGAACAGATTTGAGCGCCTTATTAATTGTTTTCAAATACAAAAGTTGGGACCTCTGTACTCTAATCTTTAAAAGTAAAAGAAAACGGAAATCATAAAAAATTTCCCTTGACCTAATTTTAAACAATTTAAACCTTCTTATCTTTATTTCAAGTTTTCAAAGTAAAGTTGATTTTAAACAGTTCAAATAATAAATCAAATCAAGATAAATCAATCCAAGAAAGAGAGAGGGGGGGGGGGCACGTTTCTCGTAATTTTATATTCTTATTTTACACATAACTTCATTACAAACCAACGAATAAATTAAAAATTGAACCTGCTGATATTTTTAAATAAGCATTTCTTCTTTAAAAAACGTATTTTCGACTTTCAACGTAAGAAACAGTGTAAATGCAGAATTAAATAAAATTATATTCTGATTTTTTCTTTGAAGTAGAAAAAATGTTTAACACACAATAGTAATTGTTCTTTAACATAAAATATTCCTACGATGAAAAAATTAACGCGTAATTAAACATTTTTAGTTGAACCTTAATAAAAAATACCAAACATTGTTCTCGAAACTAATTCTTAATTTTGTGAGCTTCTTAAAAAAACTGTTGCATTTACTGTCCGAGGAACTAACATAAGTTTTAAAAGATTATTTTAATAATTAATTTTTTTTCAAAAGTAATTTGTCTTATTAACTTGTGGTAATGTTTTCTTTTGTTAAAGGGAGTGTTCGCGAAAAATGAAAGGGGGTATAGGCTTACGGCGAAAAATAAGCGCTTTTGATCGCTACTAATCTTACTTCTATCTGTTGCGTCTATAAGGAAAAAATTGTTAAAAACGACTTATAACGAAGAACGTTGCGTTCATACAAATTCAGAAAGTTGCAAAATTAAACTCGGATCGTAAAATAATTCCAAAGAAATCATTCAGATATTACAAACACTATTTATCGATTATTTTTCGACGCATTCGTATGCAGGAAATATTTCATAATAATTAAAAAAAAAATTATATTTCGCTGGCGCTGGATTTTAGAACATTCTTGGAAAATATGAAAATGTCGTCTATATTATCAAAAATCCTCGAAACAAATTGATTATTTTACGATCCGAGTTGAAGGTTGCAACTCTCTGAATTTGTATGAGCGCTACGATCTTCAACATGAATCGTTTTTAATCATTTTATCCTTATAGACGCAACAGGTAGAAGTAAGATCAGCAGCGGTCAAAAGCGCTAATTTTTCGCCGTAAGCCTATACCCCGTTTCATTTTTTCGCGAACACTCCCTTTAAGAGCGATATGGATTTTGCTAAAGAGAACATGAAAAAAAATAAAAAAGTATTGAGACAATGTGGAAACATGCTCGTCTAAATTTAATGCACAGACACGTCTAAAACTCATTAAGCACGTATATTAACTGAGCTCTTGCCACAAACTCAAATGTTCAAATCCCTATATTTTTGCAACTTGATAATGACAGAAGGGGTCTATAAGGGTTGGGAGGGGGTCATTAAAGGAGAGGGGGACAGAGGGGGTAAATGGGCGTGGAGAACTAGGGGGGTATGGGTATGGTTGGATGCTAGGCACGTTTAATAAAGAAAAATAAAATTTTAGTTTTATTACCCAGACTTTTCCTTTGTCATAATAATTATAGTAAAATGTCAACAAAAACGTGATGGCATTTGTTTGTTGTCCGAACATATGGGATATTGCCTTTTACCTTATAATTTGTATGATTTTATTCAATTGGATAGGACTAGACTGTTTTCGCTTATTTATTCAAGATGAAAGTCTCAAAAATTCTAATTTCTCGGATAAATATGCCAGTAAGCCCGCACTTTCGAACCCGTTCATCGATACTAAGAGTTGATATTCTAACACCATTATTGTTCAGGTTAAATTTTAGACTTGACATTTTTTAAAAGGTATGTTGTTTTTATTTCAAGTAAGCCTTCATAAAAAGGGACATTTCCGATTGAAAACGGTGCCCTTAAACCTCTTTAAACCCCTTAAACCCCTTTAAACCCCTTAAACCCCATAAATCCCTTAAACCCCATAAACCCCTTAAATCTTTTAAACCCCTTATTGAGTAAAAATTTCTATCTATCTGGAGAATTGTGACAATCACTTTAATGTAGAACCGAACTGAAAATAACCAATTTTTAGACAAAAAAGGAGCAATTTCATCATTTTTGCTGAGACAAATGTTTAAAGGGCATTGTTGTAAATTGGACATGTCGCTGGATAAATAGAATGTCACATGAATGTCACGTCTTGTCGCTACAAACTTGACAATTTGTAACAATTAGTTAACTGAATATTTTTTACCTTGTTTATAATGACTGTTGCCAGGACATCTTCATAGGTCTGTTTAACCAATAATTCATGCTGGTTTCCAGTATCCTGGAATATTATTATTATTATCATCATCATCATCATCATAATCATTATCAT